ACCCACCCACTGCTCCCCTCAGCAGTGTACTTCGTCAGTTGGCCTGTTCTGCTCCCCACTGTTATCTCTGGTGAATCCTCCACCGCCCCTGCACTCTAGCCTGTACCCCAGTTCTGCATGCATAAATAATCTTTTTTAAAAAAGCATTTAAAAAAGACTATATCTATACACAATGAAATACTATGCAGCTATTAAAAACAAGATGAATGGCTGCCATCTGTGACAACCCAGGAGGAAGTAAGTATAGGGGATTATGCTGAGCAGAATGAGTCAGAAGAATGACAAATGCCAGATGATTTCACTCATTTGTGGACTATAGAGAAACAAGATAAAAGGTCAGATAAAACCAACACAGAACCAATCCTAGAAATGTGACTATACAACTGAAGCTATCAGAAGGATTGGGGAGCAAAGAGGGAGAGGGTCCAAAGGACTATGGTCACGGGCTATGGGCTCTAGGGATAGGTGTCACGTGGCAACATGCATCTGAACAGGTTTGCTCCCAGACCTCTGAATCACAAATAGTGTAAACCAATGTTAAATCAATTAAAAAAAAAAAAAACTGCTGCTATTAATTATTTATGTCTGCCGTGGTTTGGGGAATGTGTGATAATAGCACTTGTATCTACTTAGATAATTGACAAATGGATGGTTTTGGTAAAAAAATAAATTCTAACTTATATTTATTTTCATGCCCACAGTACTCAAAGTGGTATATTTACTGGGAGAAAAATACTAGTTTGAAATGTAATGGGCTGTATTTTCCAACGATGGCTACATATTCTTCTGCAACGTGACATTATTACATATTCTTTTACACTGTGATCTTGTTATTCCCCCAAGGAGAGAGAGAGTGTGTAAATCCCCTCCCCTTGAATATGGGCTGGTCTGAGTGAGTTGATCAAAAGCAAGAGGATACAGCAATGATGCTGCATGACTCCAGAAGCTTGGTAAGAAAGGAAAACACAGCTGCTCCTGGCTCTCTTGTCCCACATGAAGCCAGTAAAGTGTAGGGAGAAACTCAGGCAACGTGAGAAGGTCAGATGCAAGTGCTGAGCCCAGCCTTCAGGTCTGGGACCCTCTGCCTCCGAGTCATTCCCAGAGTTGCCAATTTCCCAAATAAGGACCCAGACACTGGCTCGGAGACAAATGCCTGTGCTGTGCTTATTTCTGAATCACAGAACTGGTGAGCCTACTAAGAAGTTCAACACCACTCGAGGTTAGGGTACTTTGTCCACTTAAACGCTCCACATTTTCTTCTTTAACTGGAACAACAGTAGGCCTCCTGTCACTGTACAAAAATGAAGTCAGAAGCCACCAGAGACAGCTTGCATGAAGCAACACTCATAAAAAACAAATAGATGGTGACACTTAACCAGCCTTGCTGTCAGCTGGAGAGCAGCACTCTGAATCACACAAAAAAAACTTTTTGGAAAACAGTTATTAGCCCACACCCACAAATCCAACTTAAGGGACCTACGTGCATATTTTTCACATGTGTACTTTTACATGTGGTGAAAACCAAACCACAGCCCTCGAAAGTTCCCACAGGACAAACAGACAGACATGAGACATGTTCTTGTCATAGTGAGCTCACTTCCCTTGCATTATAACAAGCCAAGTTGTGACCATGCTTTTACCTTTGATATTAGGAACCGAGAACAGCCTTCAGTCTTCCAGACTGTATCTATGTGCCCCTCAGTGTGTAGCCCAGGGCTGGTACACGGGCCATCCCATGATGGCTTCCCTTTCCTAAATCTGCCCAGAGGCGTCAGAGTCTGGGCCAGGCTTTGCTGATTCTACTCCTCAAAGAAAAATCATTCCTCTCTGTAATCTGGCTAATTTGACAGAACCCTTATCTAACTACACCCCCAATTAAGTTTTGTAGCAATGTCCTGAATCAACAAGATATGAGGAAAAATCCATCCCTGCCTTCTCTGACTTCAGAGAGCAGATTTTTTACATAGAATGTGATGAGCACCATGATGAGGAACACCAGAAAAAACTCTCAGAACACTATGGAGGCTCAGGAAAGTCTTGGAGAAAAAAAAAAATGTTCAGCAGAAGGTCTGAGGAATGAGTGGGAGCTGGGGAATATGGTGGAGGTTAGGGTCCAAGGGAAAGGTGATACAGGCAGAGAAAAGCTGGTACAAAGGCTGGCGATAAGAGAGCATGGTATTTCCAGAACACTGGAAGTGGTTCTGCATGACTGAAGCATCCAACACAAGACAGAAAGTAGAGGGAGAGGAGCTGGTGGTGCAGGCCATAGACAGCTTACAAGGGCCTTGATGCTACACAAAGGTGTTTGACTTAAGCATTTGAATAAGCATTTAGTTGTGATGTGATGCTGAAAATGGATCCAAGGGGCAAGAATGAAAGTCATGGGCCATGACTCTGCTGTCATCCAGGTAAGATGTAGTCACTATATGCATGAGGGTTGTTACTTATATCCCACCACTTCTATCTGAAGGGTTCAGAACATAAAGACAGGAAGACTGTGTCTCTTATACATTATTTTCTAGAAGATTCTTATATAATAAGGCCAATGCCTGTCTAAGCAGTCAACAAGAAATGCAGTAGAAAGCAGAATGGGTGAGCAAACTCTGGGGCAGGGGAAGGAGAGGGACCCTAAGTTTAGACTCCTTAACTACAGCATGTTGGGCCTTCACTTTCCTCCTCTATGAGGTAGAGCCTATCCCCTAGGGGCCTGGCCCTTTTCTGGGCCAGGGGAACATTCTTAAACAGCAATCTGTTTCTTGAAAATGAGAGCAGAATATCAAGAGGAAAGGAAAAAGTAAAATTTCAGAGTGAGAGCCCAAAATGTTCCAATCCACTGTAATCCTTGCCACACCCCAAAGAGAATAGGCCTGACTCATAGACCACATCAATACTGAGAAGCTTGACAGCACATTGCTGGCTAGCATCTGTGGGTTCTGACTCTTGAGGGGAGGGCACGTGTGTTGGGGTGTCTGTCTGGAACAGAGGGGAATGGCTGGCTCTTACCCATGCCGACCCCCATTGTTCCAGGGCTGGGCCCAGCTACCTCCCACTTCCTCCCTTGAACTTTTAACTCCCAAACCTGTAGCCAAGAAGGGTCTGGGAAAACAGCTGAATTATGATCAGGGACAAGGAGGAAATTTTTGACACCATTCCAGGGGCCATGGGCCTGGAGTATCTGCAGCTGATTCAACAGATGGGGAGGTAGTAAAGGGTCATGGAGAGTGAGTGAAATTCAGGGTCAAAATTCCACTTCCGCCACCTGGTAGCTGAGGTTTGGAGCAAATTACTTAAGCTTCAGTTGAGCTCCAACTACCTCAACTCTAAAATGGGAATAATAATATCTCATGTGAAGAGTTACTGGAAAGCCCAACTCCTGAAAACAGATTAAGTGCTTCGAAAATTTGCTAACCCAGCTCATAAAGATTACCTCCTGCATGGTCTTCTTTTAGTGCTGGACTTCATTTCCCAGCCAGTCTTAAAGGCAGCTGGAAGGCTGTGACTATTTCTCACTCCTACCCTTCTCAAGACTGTTCACACTCAGTGGGGGCTACTAATATTACTGGCTGATAACTTGGATATCAAGATTCCTGGGGATAACTATGCCAATACTAATGGAGTCCCTGGCACATCAGACATACAGAAACACCCTTTAATGATTAAAATACAGATGCCCACCTTTCTGGCAGCTATTAGAAGCAGCTTAGAAGTAGCCAGTCAGTAGAAGAGAAGGCAGAGACTGCATTCCTGGGGATGTAACTGGTCCTCATCTTAAAATGGGAACATTCACAGTTGCTACCTGGTACTGTTACTGGGAGAACTGAAACAGTATATGCAAAGCACTTAGAATTGTGCCAGGCACAGGATTAATGGCCAGTTTAAGCTCATCATTGCTATGGCTCAGTTCTGTTTACTAGTTAAATGGCAATATTGGAAATCCCACCCCAAGTAAAGACCCTGTCACCTGGAAGTGGGATTCCATTCTGGGTGAACGAGAGGTTAATAGCTGAGCTGCCTCTCTGGAATAACCCAGATGGCAAGGCGATTCTGTCGGAAGTACCTAGTAAACCATGAAATGCATTCTAAACATTAGTGTCACGGTTTTGTCTTTCCTGTACTTAAATTCCAGAAGCAATATTTTAGACATACTCCTGTTCACATGTATTTGACAACTTGATGAGAAATAGATATTATGCCCTTTGCTTTCCATAGGTCAACTCTTAATGTTCTCAATGACCCTACAAAGTTAGAGATGCTTTCCTCTTTGTTGTTGTTATTTTAAAAAATATTTTGTTACTGTTCTCAAGGAATATAATTTTGGGGGGGAAAGACAACATATAATATTGATTTATACTATTATATATTATTGAGGGGAATAAGTTCACACCTGCTTAGATTTATATCACCACAATGGCCACCATATCAGCTTTATCCACCACCATCAACCATTGTTATTTTCATCTTCATTTTAAAGATGAGGAGAATGATAGTCAAAGGTCACTCAAGGTCTCAAGTGGGACTCAGCCTCACGTCTGTTGACTCGAGTTATGTTATATTAGTGGGTTGAACATAAATGTTTGAAGATATGTAAGATGCCAGAGGGATCAAGATTTCCAGCTAACTGCCAGGAATCCTACTCTGGGATTTTGTGAGTTGTACTGCCATCCCCTCTAGAGTCGTCATGGAATCTCAGCACCACAAGGCACATGGCAATACTTTGCTATTTAAAATCTCTTGAAAATTATCTTTCTTTCCATCATTCCAAGTTAACCACGTTAAGCTTAATTTATCTACTTTGGAAGGACCCAGCGCTCAGTTGACCCTACTAATTTGAAATTACAGTTCTTGAATCTAAAGATTTTAAATCTAGGACAGAGAACATTTTGTTCTTCAGCTAAGACATCAAAACAAAATACAATACCCTCTTCTTCAAAACAAAGAAAAGCTGTCTTCTGGATTCAAGAGCATTTTGTATTTAAGACAAAAAAAAAAGCATCAAGAAATAGTAGCTTATTTTGCTTTAATATCCCAAAATATCTGCGTGAATGGGACCCTTGCAAAACAAGGCAGAAATCTTTAGACAAGTACGTCTCACTCTGAGGAAAAAACTGATTGGAGAGAAGGCACCAGAAATTGCATTTTGCTAGAGTACATGTAAACAATAAACAGGGGGAAGATTTACCAAGGAGAAAGGAATTTGTCATTTCATTGGGACATCCCAAGGATAAAAAATGGCCTCATAAGCTAATGTCCTTCTAACATTGTAGTGTAAACAAACACTAGTGCTAACGACACAAATACCCACACAGCAGAAGTACATGAAAAGGGCCTGATGTCAGCATAAACCCTTCGGTCCTCCTCTCTTCCCCTCGTTTGCCATGGTCATGTCAACAAGAAGGACCCCATTAATGTGGCATTCATCAACATCTGGTTAGTGCAAAACCAAATCCTAAAAAGCCTGGGTGAAGACACTTTTTTCTGTCCACGCTCTTCAATCAGATGACCCGAAGGCCCTAGGGTAGAGGGACGTACAGCATCTGGCTGGTCTTAGGTTATAACAGTGGGTGCAGTGCGTCCTGTCCTCTCCTGGAGCTGGGACACCTTCAGAGCAATGGAAATGAGGGGAGCCAACATGACCTGGGGGAGACACAAAGGAAACAAATTTCTCCATCATTTTTTCCAGATACAGAGTCATAACCCCAGTCCTAACATTGTCTCAGAGCTGCAGACTTTTAAGTCTGCCCACTCTGCTGCCCAGAGTATACTCAAACTCTACAAATCGAAAAATAAAGACACGGTCTTTCTTCTAATACCTAGTTTAGCATCCCCTGTATCAGTGAATTGCTATCACAGTATATCATGTAAAGTGAATGAACAACCAAGTGTCATTCTTGACACCTTCTGCATTCCTCTTGGTCAATCTACCAACAAGCCTAGGAGATGCCTCAGTATCTCCCTAGGGCACAATTTCTCTCTATCCCAGAGAAAACCAATGTTTTATCTTACTGAATTTAAAACAAGAGCTATCTGACGCTAAACCTTGTGCCTAGAACCTCATTGCCAGGGGGTTCCAAATGAGTTCCACAGGAATTTACTAAGTGTTAGAAGGAAAAAGGATGGTGAATGCTATTTAAATGGATGTCTTTATGGCAAATCTTCTCAGTACTTTTAAGATGTGGTATGTGTTATGAATTGCCAGAAAGAGGTCAGTATACCACAGAGCTTCCTAAACAATTTTTTTGGCTATAGGGCTTTGGTTGGGGAGTATCTCCCAAGAGCAGTGTTGTGACAGACACACATGGGGAAAACCTGTCCTATGTGTCACGGCTCCTTTTGGTGCCCTCTGTTCCACCTCTGGCTCCCAGGAGCCCGCCTCACTCTGGCATATTTCTGGAAACTCTAGGTGAGAGTAGGAATGCGAACCACCATGCTGCAAATCTGCACACTTTTCCATAAAGACATTCCCTGTGAGGCCACAAAACTGTCTCTCTCCTCACCCAAATCTAGAACCAAAGTGTGTATTGCCAGGATAGGCGACCAGACCAAGCAAAGCAGTAAATCATCAGTGACAGATCAGCACACCATGAGGGGCTGATTTAAAGACTAGTTATCCTGAATCTTCCATTTACCAGGCATGTGAACCTATTAACCGCTGTGTGCCTCAGTTTCCTTATCTGTAGTAAAGGTAATAATAGAGTCCACCTCATTTGAGAAAAATCATGCAGATAGATACCCATGTAATGGGTTTAGAACACAGCTGGGCAGATAGAAAGAGTTTGGATAATTGTTAGCTATTATGGTTGTTAGGAAGTACTGACAGAGACAAGGAGAAAGTGAGCACACATGCCTTATCATTTGAGAAATGAATTGTGGTATAACATGGACTTAAGAGAACCACATCACTCCCTCCAACAGAAAGAACTAGTCAGGGTGTGGGCATTACCTGAGGGTCCTGGTAGATCTTGGCAATGTCCTTCTCATAGCTGTCGATGTACAATCGGATGGTGGCCCCGGCACTCCCAGTGCCACTCAACCGAAAGATAATGCGAGAACCATCTGCAAAAATGAGCCGCAAACCCTGCAAAAAGAGATAAGCAGAGAATTTCTCCCCCAACATTCTGGCAGGGAGAATGAAAGCTGGCAAGTTACAAGGGGTCTGTTAGGAAATCTAATTTAATCCATACTTGATCAATCAAAGATTAGATCCCTGATAAATGAGAGCAGTTGAGTGCCAAAAACCTGCCCTCGACCATCCCGTAAGCACAACTAGCTGAGGGGCTAAACTCATGCAGGGGATGAATTCCCAGCATCAGGGGGGAGACCTGGGCATAAGGAGACCAGGTGACATGAGGCTTGTGCTCCCTCTTCCCCACTTCCCTAAGATTGACAAGACAGCTACTCCAGTTTGAAGTTCATAAATAAGTAACTTGCTAGATGCAAAAATTCGACCCCTGGATCAGGAAGGAAAGTAGGACAGAACAAACTGAAAGCAGGGCACTAAAGATTTCAGGAGGACTAGTGGCAGAACTCATTACAAAACACTGACCAAAGGCCTCAAAAAGAACAACTGGAAGAGGACCAGCTATTTCTGACCTACTAAGCGGGATGCCATGGACCATGCCCACCCAAGATCCGGTGGGTCTGTGCAACGCCAAGCCCAGCACCCTCTCTCTGCTGCCCTTATCTTTCCTTCCCTTAGCAACATACCTACAACAAAAAATTCTTCTTGCTTCAGGGGGAAAAGTAGGGACACCACTAGCTATATTATGAACCCAGGTAAGATAGCTGGGCAAGTCAGTGCCTTATAATTGTGTCAGTTCTTCCATATGAAGAAATTTGCAGAAAGCCACAGACTGAACAATAGGAAAAACAGCACACCTCATCTGCTTTTGCCAGCAAACTCCATCCAGTATCTAATCATGCCATTCAATAGTGAATTGAGCACACATCCCCAGTCAGTCATCATGGAAAGACAGAGCTAATTGATGCTCATTTATCACTAATCACTTTCTAGATAGTAACCCTAGCTGGGGACTGACTTTTCTCTCTCATTAACATTATAATAGAAAGATGCTGAATGAAAGGGTGAAAAAAGTTAAGCAAGGTACAGGTGCAAGTCATATGTCAGAAGAAAATCTAATAAGAATAACTACCCAAGAAAAAACAAGACCATAAAGGAGAAATGCCCAAGGGACCTTTTCCTTTTTTCCCTTAGGATTTCAGGGATGAAGCTTTGAGGCCTCTTTCCAAATACACACAAATCTGTTCCAACCTGATTTTTCGAAACGCTTCCATCCACTGGATCACTGTATTCAAAGTTATCGATTTTCTCCACAGTATAAACTTTGTCGCCAACGGAGAACTGTTTCCCCACAAAGGAGCGATCCGATATCAGGGCCTCCAAGTCCTTCATCATTTTGTTTGCCCCCTCAGCTTCCACCTCCTCATAATCATACCTGGAAGAGGCCACAAAGTTGAGGTCCCCTGACTTCAGAGTCACTGAGGTAACTCAGCACTTTCTCCTTTATTTGTTTGGCCTTCCCCCAAGTCCCTAACTTCTGAAGACATTGTCAAAAAGATGTGATTGTTGGGCCCTCGCTGGGCGCAGCACTGTGAAGCTATTGCAGTCACTGCATCATGAGTTTGATACCCAGCCAGGGAGGTACCCTCATGGCAGACCTTTCCTGTCTCGCCTACTGCTCCCTTCAGCAGTGTATTTCAGTGGATCTGTCTGCTCTGCTCCCCACTCTGTCTCTGGTGAATCCTCTCACCACCACCCCTATACCACTGGCCTGTATCCCAGTTCATATATGCATAAAAAATAAATCTTAAAAAAAAAAAAAAGTGCTTGTTACTTCCTGGAGATGGAGCAGGCCAGGGATAAAAGAAGGGTTTGGAGGATTTCTAAGGAAGGACTAAGGAGCTTCTGAATAAGCCAAACTTTGTTTTTGTGTGTGTGTGTGTATTTTTTTTTTTTATGGAATAAAGCTCTAAGAAGCTTCAAAGGCTTTTGAAAGATACTATCTAACATTTAATCATACATCCTGCGAGGTAGAATTAAAAGCTGTGTTATCTCTAGAGGATTCTGATAAAACTGCTCATGACTCAGGTACTTCTCTTCCAAACTCATAATGCTTCTTTGGGGCAAATACTAGGGCTGCACCCAGCCTGGGACCTGCCCCTTGAGACTGAGATTTTAGATAAGGAGAGTTCCAGTCCCCACAGGAGCTTCTGAAAGTGAGGCCAAGTTTTCACTGACCAGATAAAGGAGCCAAATTTTAACTCTTTACATCTGAAATGCCTCCCTCCTTTCAGGGAGAGTGCATTCTGGTATTTAGAGTCACTCTGTCAGATGCAGAAGAGCCAAGGGGTGGAGGGTGGGTTGGGGTTTGGGGGAGAAGGCCGGGACAAATGAAATCTATGACTCATTTTTCCCCTAAGAATTGTTCTTGACTTCTTTCTTATGAGGTTCAAGACTCTTACAGGTGGCTTTTCTTGACCTAGTGGCACACGCTCTCTTGAAAGAGTTATTTTTTAGAGGCTCAAGATAGCAGAGTCTATATTTATTTGCGATAGTGAAACAAATATGATATGTGCAAGATGACACCTTTGAGACATGAGAAATACCAGGGAATTAAGGCCAACCTATTCTGGCTCCAGGATTCTATGAATCAAGGACAACAGTCCCCTTAATCTTGAAGTCAGCTTTTTTCTCCAGTTAAAATGATAAACAGCAAGAAATTACAACCAGGTGTTAGTGCTTTACATCTATGACCTTTGGGTGTTCGAGGGAAATGTTCTATAAATCCTAGGCGAAGAGGGGTATAATGGAAAGAATCTGGACTTTGGGATCAGAATGAGCTGTGAATTCAGCCTCTACTAGTTACTAATTGTGTGACTCTGGCAAGTTGCTTCATCTCTCCAAAGTCATTTCTTTATCAATAGCTGTTTTAAGGCAGACAGGAAACTATGCATGCAAAAGTACTTTTGTTAAATAACTAAACGTGAATGTTAGTACTAAGAGCTTTATTTGCAATACATGGTTAGCAACTATTTGAAATTAAGAAAAATATGTTAAAATAGTTTTTAGGAGTCTTTTAACTAATCCCAGAGGGACTCTTTCTCTGAACAATTCTTCCTGGCCTTAATCCATTCTGGCTAATGGATCACTTATTAACTCATCCATTTATCTATTCAAAGAATATTAGTACAGTGGCAACTATGAGTTAGGTGTTTGCTGATGCCATAGAGCAGAAAAACAAACACGGTCATAACTTTTGTGATATCCCAGACTATACAGAGTTCAAGACTGCTGTTCTGAATTTTTCTGGTTCTTAGCAAAGGTTCTTGCCTTCAATCCCTGAGCTACTTGTACAAAACCACATGGCAGTTATTACTTATACCTTCCACAAACGAATAACCTGAAGGAAGAAGACAGCAATAAACTTGTCCAAAGTGATAAAATGATTCTGATTAAGGAATTCAAGTCATTTAAGGCCAAATCCAGAGATTTTAGACTATTAAATGGACAATATATTTTTTAAGTTTTTTACTCACTGATTTGATAGAAAGGTAACTGAGGTTCAGAGAAATTACATCTATACATTTCTTACAATTTATCTAACCCCTTTACTCCGATTTCTTTTCATAATTAGAATAGTGAGGTCCAGAAAAAAATTATTAGATATTTAACAATTATTGGAAGGTAACATAAATTGGAATGAAGGAAAAGCACTACTGGAAAAGAAATGTTAGTGCCATTTTGAAACTAGAAGCACGCAGGGTAAAGAATTACAAAATATTCTAGGTATTTTATTTACTGCTAAAGCCTCCAGTATTTGGTGGAACACAATAAATATTTATTAAATCTATGAATTAAGTATTGACAAGTCTTTGGGGATCTCTTTTAATGAGCCTGAAAAATTGATTTGGACTAAGCATAATTGTTTCCATAATTTCAGAAAAGAATGTTTCCATACTTTTAGTGTTCCAGAGTTTATAAAACACTTTCAGACTCACATTTCATTTAATCCACTCAATAATTGAACTGTTATTCCCATTTCTACAAATGAGAAAACTGAATACAGAGAGAGGTTACATGACTTCCCAATCTACCAAGGGACAGAAATAAACTCCTAATCCATTTTTCTGAATCTAAATACAATATTATCTTGTCTACCTGATAGCTAGATTTAAAAGATTTATATTTGATTTGAATATAACTAATATTTTAAGCCTCATTCTTTTGGGCTAACATAAAAGTTGACTTCATCTCAACCATGATTGAATTATTCGTTAAACTCCCAGTTGGTACATGCTGGATGAACTGGTGTTTTATTATGACTTAAGACAGGAAAGAGTTTGTATTTATAAGCCCACGTTCATATCCCAGTCGGGCTGTGACTTACCTAGTGAAGAAATTACGGCCATACTTTTGCCAGTGATCTTTGAGAATATCCTCCACACTCTGCTTACGGGTGGCTAGAATAGAAAGCCAAGCTAGAACAGCCCATAGCCCATCTTTCTCACGGATGTGGTCAGAACCTGGTATGGAGAGAGTGAGCTGCTGTGAGAAATAGGACTTCTCCAAAATACTTAGCAAAATACTCGAGTAAACATGTAGACCCAACCAAAAAGTCATTAAGCGTTACAGAGGAACTTGAGTACATAGAAGGAAATATACATTGACTATAGTAACATAATCTTGAATAGAAGTTGATTAAGTCTCAAAGCAATTTAGAAATTTAAGACAAATGCCAGTAAAAATGTTAGTGGAATAATTTGGTTGCACTTGATATATCGATAACTAGGTATTAATGTGGAAAAAACACATCTCAAACAAATAGCAAAATAACATAAATTTTTAAATAATTAAAAAATGTAAATATATAGAATTTGAATTTGTGATAAAGGTATCTCTTCAAGCTTTAAAAAAAGAAAAGACCTCTTTTAAAATAGCATTTGAAAATATAACTGAAAGCTGGAAAATATTCAGTATTTTCCCTATATAACACCATATCAAAATGAATTCCAGATGTATTTCACACTCAAATATAAAATTGAAAGACTTTAAGTACTAAAAGATATAGATAAATATAGTTTTAAATCTTGGAGATTATAAATACTCAGAATTCATAAAGTAAAGTGATGGATTTGTCTACTTAAAAATTAGTATTTCTTTCCATGTGTTGTGTGACAGTTCATAATTACCCACCCACTAGCCACCCCACTCCTGTCCCAGGACAGTTTTCTCTAAAAAGTAGATGTGACTTTAACTTTTGGTTAAAAGTTACAGTTAAAAACGTTGACTGTTCAGAGAAGCAACAGTTTCACTAAAATCTAATTATGTACCAGTTTCTTTTTTTCCAAGGGAAAGACTGTCTTTGTCTTAAAGCAGCAGCATGAAATTTTTCATAGCTTCACTTTTCTTTTAACCTCTCTAGTACCTGTAATGAGGTCTCTTATTTCTGATGCCAGAAGTTTGTGTTTTCTAGCTTATTACCTTTATCTGTCTGACATGAACTTTATCAATTTTATTGTATTTTTCAAAAAAAAATTTTGGTTTCTTTTTTCTTAATTATTGCTTATTCATTTCTATGTCATCAAGTTCTGCTCTTGACTATTTCTGCCCAAAGATTCTTACTAAATATTTAGGTTTAATTTGCTCTTCTTTCTCTAGTTTTTTAAAGTGGAAACTTCGATAATTAGTCTTAGACCTTTCGTCTTACTAATAAAAACCTTTAAAGGCATAAATTTGACTCTAGGCACTGGCTTAGAGTCACAAATTTTAATGTTTTGTATTTATATTTTCATTTAATTCAAAATACTTCATTTTCTTTTTTTCCCATTTTTTGCCTTTGCCATATGGATTATTTAAACACCTATTTTTAGTTACCAAATATTTAAGGAATTTTCTATATATCTGTATACTTTCCCTAAGTTAATTCCCTAATGGTATAATATCAATGGTCTTAGATTTATTGACACACTCTTTTCTTGTACACATATTCACTATGCATACAAGAATGTGTAGTTGTTAGCTGGAATATTCTATAGATATTAATCTAGTTGCTAATTCTGTTTAAATCATGTCTGTACATCTTCCATTGATTATCAAAAGAAGACAGTTGAAATTTCTAACTTTAATTGAGTTGTGTTTGCTATTTCAGTTTCAAAAGTTTTTCTACACATATTTTGAAGCTAATGTTGTTAGATACATATACATTTAGTCTGTGATGTATTCTTGGGACTTTTGGTCATGTTACCAATTTGTAATGTCCTTCAACTATCACAACTACTAAAATTAAACAAATTGTTTATAAATGGTTATTTATAAAAAATGTTTAAAAGGGCCCTCCCTGGTGGCGCAGTGGGTTAAAGCATAGCACTGAGAAGCCAAAGCCACTTCAGCATGAGGTTGATCCATGCCCCGGAGTTGACCCACAGGACCTGGTAGACCTCTCCTGACCTGCCTGCTGCTCCCCTCAGCAGTGTACTTCATCCATTTGCCTATTCTGTTACCAGCTTTGTCTCAGGTGAATCCTCTCACTGCCCCTGCACCTCTGGCCTGTACCCCAGTTCTGCATGCATAGATAAATAAATCTTTAAAAAAATATATTTAAAATAAATATACAACTTGGGTTTGCCAAAGTCACATTCATTTTTTTCACAGCATCTACCTCCACTCACAATTTATCTGTTTGTTTTCTATATCCCTTTACCAAATAAAAAGTTACAAAGAGTTAGCCTTCATTTGTTTTATTCTCTGCTGTGTCTTAACTACCTGACACAAAATTTGACCTCAATAAATACTTTCTGGATAAGATCATAATACAAAATTGGCATTTTTATCAATAATATATATAAATTAAAAGGCCACAGTTCGGTTTAAAATTAAAAAAAAATTCTCAACATAAATTAGATGCTAAATATACTCAATATAGAAAAAAAATTCTTATATATTATTAAGAATAAAACCAAAAGCTCACTAGAAAAACAGGCCAAGGGTACAAATAGGCAATTGTCCAAAGAGTTAATACAGGTAACCAATTAACATAATAAAAAGCTAGTATTGGAGGAGAAGACAAAATTAAAATTATAGTAAGAAACTGCTACTTGCTTAACAAATGACCACAGGTTTTAAATGAGAACACCTAGTATCAGAGGAGGTATGAGGGAAGTGATATTGTAATAGGCTGCAGCTAGGACAAGAAAAGTCCTCTGGAGAGCAATTTCACAAAAAGTATCAAAGCTTTAAAAATGGACCTTTTGTCAACTTGTCTAAATCTCAGATATCTTTCTTTGACCAATAAAAAATGGTTAATAACCAAATATTAACCTACATAAATGATGGCACATCTATGTCCCACAGAGCCCCTTGCTAAAATATTTATCAAAAACAATAAGTCAATTATTTTGCATCTATTTATATGCTGGAGACTCTTTTATAAAATTCTAAACTCACGGCCCTCCCTGGTGGCGCAGCGGGTTAAAGCACAGCACTGAGAATCTAAAGCTGCTTCCGCATGAGTTCAACTCCCGCCTGCCCCGGAGGTGACCACATGGCATAGCAGACCTCTCCTGACCCGCCCGCTGCTCCCCTCAGCAGTGTACTTCGTCAATCTGCCTGTTCTGCTCCCCACTCTGTCTCTGGTGAAGCCTCTCGCCGCCCCTGAGCCTCTGGCCTGTACCCCAGTTCTGTATGCACAAATAAATAAATCTTTAAAAAAAAAAAATTCTAAACTCACACTTGTTGCCTTTAAATTCCTTATTCTAAAAAACAAAAAGAAAGCATACTGTATTGAGCTCTATTTTCTGATTTCTGAACAGAACTCAATGCAATCCCTTCCTCATATGCAGTGCTCTGCATATTATCATACCTTGAACTCATTATGTGACAGTCTACACTTTCTGGCCTCCCTTTGGGTCTTCTACGGAGAGTAGAAGTAGAGTGTCTAGCACAGTGCTGGCTCTGTATTAGGCATGAGATATACTGGCTTTCTTCCCCTCTTCACCCTTTTAGCCCCAGGTCAAATATGCTCTGCTTTTTGAGATTAGCATCCAGTTTCCACAGAAAGTTGAGCTTTTTCTTTTCTTCAAGTAGTGACCTGCTTAAAACTTCTCCTTGAGCCTCAATCATCTTATATCACGCCCACTAACCATGCAATTCTTGTAGGCATATTTTATTTATCCTTGTAACTAAGTGTGGTGATTAACATAGCATAAGGAATATAATAAGTAACTCTATTGTACCTGAATGAAATAATTAACTGTTCTACTCTAACATTTTCTTTTTGATTCAGAAAACTACATGTGTTCTTTTTCTTTCCAAAGATTTTATCTGCAATAGATACCAATTTTAGAAATAACATTTCTCAAAGCCTAGATGTTGTCAAAATTGGAAGCTTTAAGCAATACTTTTTATATGTTATATAACAAGTGTTGGATATGTTTACCTAATTTTATTCTCTATGGACTTTTATTTGTCTTTATTGCTATTTCAAGAAACAGAAAGTTAGCTATTTGACTCTTAGAGTTTTTGCAAATGATGATATGTTTTGGCAGTAGTTCATCCTGGGAAGCAAAATCCTGGCGGCTTCCCCAGGATATTGAGAATTCATGATAGCAGCATAGAGCTTGGAATTATTTGCCTATAGCTTGCCTCAGCTTTTTTTTTTTCACACACCTTTCCTTTTTCTTTTTAATTTTTCTCCCTTTCTTGTTAGACTAGTCTAAAAGCATAGGGGAAAGTGGTCTTTGTGCTTTTCCTTCTCTAAGTAATTCGGCATTTTCATTTATATTCAAAAGAAAATAAAATCTAAAAATTGTATTCACCTCTGACCAAGTTACTTGGAGATATTAATACTATAAGCAAAATACCTGCTTGATAATATAAATAGTCTATTCATTTGCAGAATCTCCAATATCTTTGGAAACTAGTCAATCTTGCTAGTTACTTTAAATGTATTAAAACTCCAGGTAACTCTAATATTCAGGAATCCTGATCGAATTTCATTTTCTTTGGGGTTTTGAAGGGCTCCTGGCCCTGGCAAGAGTCAGGCATGTGGACAAGTTACTAGTGAAAAATGGCAATGATGTGTATATGTCTCTAAAGCTAATGTTTTTATAGCTGTAGGAATGGAAAATGTTTATATTTAAGCCCTGGAAAACATGGGTCTTGGACTCAGTTATTTATAAGCTATTTCAACTTGGACAAGTCCCTCAGTTTCTTCAAGTGTAAAATGGGTATGATACCACCTTTCTCACACAATGTCAAGACTATAATAAGACAGTGAATAGAATTATCTTAGAAAATGTTAAGTACTATGGAAATGTCATGGATAACTTTATAAATAAGGAAAAAATTAAAAACATTTGGAGAAAATCAGTGCTTTCCACTACCTTATTAAATTAAAAATCATATTGGGAGAAAAATGAAATATTATTTAACATGCCATTTTCTCAAGGCAGTGAGATTACAGTGTTTTTCCCTTCTTCCTTATTTAATTTTCCCATAGTGAATGTGAATTAGTGATGTCATTTTT